AAAAAATAAATAAAAAATGTGAGTTCCGGTTCGTCAGGAGTTGTGATTAGACGCATGTTTAGGAGAATTTCATGTAGCTTCCGAATACATAATTGGATCTTTTCGCGCGACTTTGCAAATACGGGGTGTTCTTTTCAAATCGAACACCCAATTTGACACCACACTCCGATTTTCTTCAAACGCGATAACCAAGTTCTTTAGATAAAATAAGTTGACACGTATCCCAGGATTTATTTTTTAAATTTTTTTCTTCGGATATATGATCTGTCCAAAGTTGGTAATTTTCGTGAACCAGGCAAATCATATACTTATTCAAATCGGTGTATCTTGGTATGATCGTAGAGATTTCTTCTTAACACTTAACTTACTGCCTAACCAGAATGGTGAGGCTGTGGTATGTAGCAAGAGCTGTCAAAAGTAAAAATATGCTACATGCTCCTAAACTGCCCACAATATGTAGCTGTGGTTATGGTGTATTATATCTGATGTAGCTGATGAAGAGAGCGAAATAGCTCGTGGCTGTGGTAATACATTCTGTTTAGCCATTTAAGGTATTGTAATTGAAAAAGCATTTTTTCACATTCGATAGTTTGACATGGTAGCGACGATAGCACCTCGGTAACCGTTCAATAAATTTGTACCAAACTCGGTATAATTATTGTACTTGCCACATAAAACCAAGACGTTGAAATTTTTTTAAGTTGGACTAAAATTACGCCCACTTTTTATTAACGGTATATTTCAGAAAATCTGAAACTTCGATATTTTGAAATTAAGGTCCCTAATATACTCAAAGTTGATACAACAATCTCTTGAAAAGAAATAACATTACTATGGAGTTTTGGATAATGGGCGTGATACCGCCCACTTATAACTGCAATCTGCATCGGAATTCAGTTTGCTTCACTGTAAAGTTTTCTTCAAATATGTAAACTACTCATACTCTAACAAAAAGGGTATGGAAGGAAGAGAAGTGAAGATATTTAGCCCTATCATAGAATCCATCGTAGAGAATCTACGAATTCGGATGTCCGCTACGAATACAAAGAAATTGCTATCACTGAATCCGAGTGAACTCGAAAACAGTGCTGCCAAATTAAAATTTCGAAGTACGAAGTTTCGCAATCAGCTGGCTGAAAGTAAACAAATAAGTTTAATCGTGCAATATTTTTGATTTTAGACATTTTTATAAAATTATCAATAAAAAAAAATGGATTCACTGGCGAGTGCAATCATGCTGATGGTAGAGGAAGGTGAATTAAGCAGGTCCGCTATTAAAATTCAGAGAAAAACTTTGAGGGACGCAAGTAATCCTCTCGAAATGCAAGAAGTAATGTAAGTGTAGTGTGTTCATGATTACTTTATTTCTAACTGCACTTTAATGCAGGTTCATAAAAAATTTTCGCTTAAACAAAGCCGCATTTACGTACGTCCTTAGTGTTTTGGAAGAGAAAGCAGCTCCTTCTTGCTTAAGATTTCTCGCGGAGGGAGGCTATCAGCATGGAGTGGGCAAGGATTATGACATACCGATGGCTCAGTCCACATTTTGCTGCGTTTTAAAAGACGTATTGGCGTTGTTACAAACTCATATTTGCCCACATTGGATAAACCTTAACTTAAGTGATGACGAAAAACGGCAAGCAAAGATGGACTTACCAAAAAACAGGGTTTCCTGGAGTAGTGTTGTGTGTGGACGGGACTCATATTAAAATAATTTCTCCCACTGAAGACAAATTAATGTATTATAACCGAAAAGGCTACTACAGCGTCAATGCCATGATAGTAAGTTTGATAGACAAGTTATGCATCAAGGTTTAATTAAATTATTTGCAGATTTGCGATAACAAAATGAAAATCCGCCATGTGAATGCGCAGTACCCAGGAAGCAATTACGATTCCTATATAATGAACGTCAGCAATGCGAGATGTTTCTTTGAGAGGGGGAGAGGAACTACTTAAATGGTGAACGTACCACCTGGATTTAAGTGAAAATTTATAAAAATCGTTTTTCCACGTTCAGGGGATGCTGGATACTCCTTGGAACCATGGTTGATGACACCTTTCCGTTCACCTCCGCCTGGTAGCTCCGAAAGCCATTACAACAAGATACACGCCAAAGCT